TAGATAGATAGATGGATGGATGGATAGATAGATAGATATTATGAGAGTTGATCTTCATGTTAATCATCTCTACACATACACAAAACTCACCGCGCTGGGTTTTCCATTGTTTTCCAGAAGTAGTCCCTCCGCCATTTAAGTCATGAATAATTACTCCCCTGGGTGCTCTGCTCGTCTGAGATGAGGAACAGCTCGTCCGCGCAACTTTTCAAACTCGTCACTCCCCATTTGTAGTTTCCAGACGCGCTCGTGGGGCAGAGAGGAGGCGCGTCGTGTTGACGGGCGGAATTAACAAGCTTGTCAAACTCCCGATCTCCAATCACCGAGGCGCATCGCAGAGCAGGCCGGTCCCAGCCGTGAGTCGTTTTCCCCGGTCCATCAGCGATCACATGAGGCAAGTGCTTTCATCCTGCGTCCCGAAGTGCCCACAGTTGTTATTAAATAGCCTATGACTAACTGTATCCAGGGGCGTTTCCAGGATTAGTAAACATTAGGGGCATGGCTCAGACTCGGGGGCACCTTCACCGATAGAAGCTGGAGAATCTCAACACTATGTTGATGAACTTTGATATCTAAATTAAATTACTTGACCGTATAAGATAAGACTACAGTATTAATAAGGGCTGAAATAAAAACACTGGTGAAGATCATAAACTTTAATTTAAACGGCACAGCCCATGTGCTGCTTATCTTGTCTTTTTTGTGCCAAATTTAAAGGAAAATAAAATAATGTGGACATTTCTAAGTGCAGGTTTTATTTGGTTGCTTTAATAATAACAATAACAACAGCAATAATAATAACGCTTACAATGCTAATAGCCATAATTATAATAATACAAATAATAATAATATTGACGTATCATTGCCAACATTTTTTAGATGTGATTGTATTTACTCACCGGCTCATCTAAATTCACTTCTTCCTCCTGATTCATGAAAACACCCTCGCTGTATAATTCAGCAGAAAATCATAACCTTCACCAATAAACTGGATACGTGTTTATCATGATAATTATCATTAAATAAATGTGTATCATATTGTATTGAGATTATGTTAAAGTGCATCATAATAGCCAATTACACACATTTAGACACAAGTATATAATTATTGATTCATTCATTTAACTAGCCTGTTTGGTTGTATATATAGCAGTGGTTCCCAACCTGGGGGTCGATACCTACAAGGGGTCGCTATTAATCTAAGCAGTTTTAAGATGATTACAACAACAGGAATGAAATAACTCGAACTACACTAAATTCTACTTATTTTGGTTCTTTTCAAAAAAAAAAATCTTTTGAGATAAGTTTCAATCCTTCACCGCTCTACATATTAATGAAATGAAGAGAAATTCATTGTTCATAAGTCTTGCCCCAGCATGCAAGTGGCCAATACACAGAATACTAAACTTATTTTCAAAAGTCCTACGACTGTACTCAATAAGGACTTTGTTTTGTCTTGTGTGAGTTAATTCACAAAACCGATATGCTTTGCATCACTTTCTTACACATGACTTTCTTGCATGCGCTCCAGTGTCTGGTCCCCTCTTCATGGGCTTTGGTCACAGTGTCTCCTGCTTCCATATGATTTCATAGTCAAACGTTTTAGTTCTTATCAAAGCCTTGTGACCTCTTGAGGTGAAAAGTGTAGAGAGTGCACAGCAATAGGATACATATATATTCAAATATAATAAAAAATAATTTCATGTGTAAAATCAGTGCAGTTCCTTCCGCACGGTTAAATGACAACTGAAGTCCTCAAGCACATGATGTAGATCTGCTTTACGCTGCCTCCATCAACTTTCTCCTCCTTGCTGCTATTTCCGACACTTTACATAAGCAGTGTCCTCATGTAGCCTATAGTGAACCTTCAGACTCGTGCTCCCAACTTTAACCCAACGAGCAAAGTTGAGACGATCATGCAACTCAAATGGTTTGTGTCATATGACTCCGACTGTGAAATGTCTGTGGCGTCATGCTGTGCTTGTGTAAAAAATCAATGATGCTGCGAAGATGGACACAACTCAGGGCCAACACAATAAAAGCAGAGAAGTACGAACACTTCTGTGCAGTGACATAGAATATTCTGAGGACGGGAAGAACGGACACGGAGGAAAGACCTGCTGTTTCACAAAGTACCACATAGCTGTCAGTTTATTATGTGAACTTGTATTGCATGTTAATTTAACTAAATGTTTTGTAATACATACAGACTGAAGAGTAACAACTCTTACATTCACAAACTATGACCTCAAAAAGGTGTCAAATCAACCAGACAGTTTGAGTTTAACAGCGGAATTGTTTAAAAAAAAAAAAAAGATTTGTTTATGTTATCTATGTAATTGCTTTATTTTATTTCAGTTTGTGGTTCATCTCATTTCAGTCATTTTTTCCTATGGTCTCATATACTTACCTTCAAAATAGATTATAATAAATGTATTTGCCTTTTGTGTTGTGAGTGCTAAACGGCTCTGAAGCTTGAACACCTGAACATCTCACTCACTGTCATTCTGTTTCTTTTTTAATACATTTTCTTATCATTTAATTATTTGACCAATATTTCATCACAACAAAAAGGGCACTTCTCCATTGCATTGATTGTGCCGTAGAGCTTTTATTACAGATATGAATCAGAAATGCTGTAATATATATATAGCATAATATTACATTTGTGTTTAAGGTAATTTATTGCACAAATCAGCCACATTTTGATACAGATTTGAAAGTCAGTGATGAGTGATGGGAGCTGGCTGGTTGGGTCGAATGTGAGCAGTACTGGTTGGCACATGTGTATATGTGTAATGTATATAATAAGCTGAACGATGCTAAAATGCTTTGAGTGGAACTCGGGTTAGAACAGCAAAAGATGAAGATGATGTTTCTCTGTAGGTTCATCACAAGGGACAGCTGCTGTGCCTTCCAGAAGCCATACTACCAATTAATTAGTATGCCTGAAAAAAGATTTAGTATGTCCCAATACATAGTATGTCAAATCATGCAACATGCCAAAAAATACCAGGATGTCCTCCTGCATCCGGTCGCATTTTGCAGTATGCAAGCCAGCGTGCTGCTCTGGCTATTCTGACCCACAATCCTCTGCACTGCTGGTATATGAGCAGGAGGATCAATGTTTGAGGTGCAATCTCACCATAAAGTAGTATGTCCCAATTGAATGCATACTGCATGCAGTACGCACTGCCGCAGTAAAAGAAAGACATATGCGATTTGAAAAGCAGTGCTCGTGTGCAGCTCTAAACATTTCCTATTGTTGCCGGTCAGGTGGTTGCATGCAGGAGGCTGTTATGAGCTACAGGTGAAGAACCTCCATTAACTGTGCTTGTCTTATGTTGACATTATCGTTCATTCAGTCCTTCACTGATACGGATGCCCTGTGGTGGTCACTTCTATCAATCTTAGGTGTTGACCTTTCCATCACGAGGGAATTCATCCCGTCTTTCCTGCCTCTGTTATCCTCAGGACCTGATTGTATATCTGCTCATTAACACAATGATTAGAGGAAAAACCAGAGAGAAAACATGGTGTGTGCATGTGTGTGAAAATGATTCCGTGTGCGTTTTGTGAGTCGGTTTTGTGCGCGCTGCAAAGACACGTTGCCACAGTGAGTATTCTCACAAGCATTGGTGTGTGTGCTCCAGAATAACCTCGCATTAGCTGCCCATTATTTCAATAAACCTCCTCTTGCATCCCGTTGACAGATCATCTGCCTAGAAAAGCAGATATTGTGGCCTTTAATCAGTCAGCCCCCTCCGAGCCACCGTAGTCTCTTGTGCAGTATTTAAATTCCTCATTTACTCAGTTGCAGGCGGGACGTGCCTGTCCCCCATTGTTCGCTCTGAATAAACTGGGGAGCTGATCGTGTTAAGTGCGGCCATGATTGATGGCTGCTGACGAAATCTAATATACTCGCCCCATGCCATCGTTTGGCAGGAATAGGATCAGAGAGAAAGACTCTTACATGAGCTGATAAAAGGCGAAAATGTACTTAATGTTCGAATTTTTTATTTATTTCTTTTAATTGAGGAGTCTTGGCTGTGGTCGAGTAACTCCAGCAGGAGTCTGACATTAACTGTTGAGCGATGGCTGTTCTTCTTGGTGTGTGTGTGGTGAAAGTGTGTTGGCGAAATGAAGTGTGCATCTGTGAGAGAGAGTGTGTGTGTGTGTGTGTGTGAGGTCACATTTAAAAACTGTGAAGTGGAGTGACTGTCATCAACCAAGCCTCCACCGTCATGCTAATTTTATTTTCACCATCGTAACCACAGCTTATCATTATCTCCTTATGCTCGCGGTGATGACCTCACCACGAGCCACTCAATTGCGGAAAATTCAGAGTTTTCATTATCACATGCACATACTGCATTGAGTGCATTCATTGTGCGTGGTTGAAAATGGCACAAGGTTTCTGTGATGCAGCTGCTTCGTTTGAGAGATGAAGAGCTCTGGAGGATTGTCGAGAGGTGAGATTCTAGTGACCCCTTGTGGGACTCGAGCTGCAGCTCATGATGACTGTATGACTTTGATTATAGACCTGGAAAAAGGGTGTATTTGTATGTTGGCTGTGGTTTAGCGTTGTGGCGATGTTTCAATGGACTCATTGTGAAATACCAGGGGTTAGCTGAAGGAAGCAGGGACACACTAGCAGGTAAATGGACAAACCCTTTGGCGAAATACACTCACACTCAAGAGCCCACTTGAACCAGTCATAAGTCTCAGCGTCATCTTCTCTCTCTCTCTCTCGCTCTCTCCTCTCCTTCCTCCTCTGCTCCTTTACCCACTTCACAGCTACATTAGCACTTGATTTGGGTGTAATGGATCTGCCTCCTCCCCTTCGCGCCCGTTCCTATTGGTTGCGGCTGGCCTCCAGCCCAGCCCACCTGCTCCACGGCGCTCTCCTTAATGTGACTGGCCGAGGATGATGGATCACCCCCTGTCACTTCCACCTCCTCCTCCAATCAACAACCAGCCATGGAAATTGATTGTTCTAATTTGCTCTCATTATTATTATGATATTAAGCACAATATACAGACACAGCTCACTGTCAGATCTGGGCAATGGCGTCATTAGTTACAGGGGCTGGAGAATACGCCTCGGCGGGGTTTTCTCCCACAGACGCCAAGATGTAAAGGAATCAGCCAGCGTTGGAGAAACACACTGCTTTTTCTTAATAAGAT